CTGCCTTTTTTTTTTAAGATTGAATAGTATATAACCACATACGGTCACGTGCAGAAACATCAGCAGCGTCGGCTGATTTCCTTCAGTGCCCGGAGCAACCCTTCAGATACGGCAACCCGTTATCACCTCTGTAGCATCATTAATTCTCTACCCGTCCTGCTGTGTGTGTACGCTGGGACACGCCACGAAGTTCATATATTCCTGTTTTCGGGCGTCTCAGATTAACTTTCGCGCCGTAACTGGACGCAGCCCTGCTGGGCTAATTGGTTCTTCGCCGCTTCGGAGCTCAGCGCGGCGCCTTCGTGGTGTCAATGGCGCAAAGAGTGTCCGCAGGCGTCGTTTTCGTCAGCGCTTGTTGGCGGTAAGGAGTCTTCTCCACGCGAGCGGACGCTGAACTCGCTCAATTATCGCGCGGCGTCTTCGAATTTCCGACTCCGTCCGCCGACCCCCCCCCCCCCCCCCCCCCCCAAAAAAGAACAGATGTCCGGGTACACGAGCCGCCTTTAATTAAGATGCTTCCCTCTTTTCCCTACGAGTTGTTATATAATCTCCGTGTCTAGTGTCAGTCCGCACGCTCCTGATGTTGAACAGAAGGGCCATATAAGAGAGCCGCGTGTGTTTTATATAAATGGCTAGTGATTGCACGCACTTCGAGATAAACGTGCCGGAAACTGGGCTGCTTCTGTCGTTTAGTTGCGTTTTGTCGATCTCTTTTCTCTGGCAGAAGCCCAGTGATGTCATTTATTAACCATGATTTGGTCAAAAAGATGTACATAAGTGGTAAAGTTCACTTTCACATTTGATTACTTCAGTAAAAGTGCTAGCTGATGTAAATCGTAAAGCCATTGAAAAGGCTGTGAAATATATTGGCACAGTCAACGAAAGAGGCCATAGCAAAAGATCTTGGTGCCATTTCTGTTTATACAAGCTTGCCAATATTGGCCATACGTATACGGCAGGCAATGTTGACTAAAGACGTCTTTGCGATCAGTGGCCCTTCACCGGTTGGCAACATTGAGGTAATGTATTTTTGGATGCATCACGTGCCCAGACTCCAATATTGGACCAATTTTTGAGCCAATATTGGACAACATTGGGCCCACTTCTGCCGAATGTTCGTCTGCTGCCTGGGATTGGTTAGAACGAGCTAAGATTGTTGAAGTATTGAGCAGGGTTTTTCACTGTGAATGAAATACACGTTGTTTCTGTCGAACTGTTCGTGTAATGCTAAGCTTCACCGTTATGGTGTTTATCTGCCGCCGGCCAGCCAGGAGCTAATATTGACATATTCGCAAAGGTTATCGCTCGTGCGTTAAAAAGCATATTCGTTGTTCTATCAAAACTAGAGACTTCGCCATCTCTCCTTTCGTACGAGCACTAATTACAGTATGTCAGTACTCGCTAAATTTACTCCCTTTTCCCTGAAGTATACACCGTTTGGACATGCTCTCCATTTCTCCCCTGAACATCATAAAACATGCCGGTACTTTCCACATGCACCACAACGTCTTATTATTTGCTGACATTACCTGTGCGTATACGCATATACGCATAGATTCGTAATTTGAACTCGCAGATCTTGTTTACAAACACGACAATGCAAACACATTGTTTGTCCAATAGGGTGGAAGAAAATCTTTTTTTTTTTTTGGTGGTGCATGCACTATTTAAAGCGAAACGTGCGAATGTATTTTTGACGAACATGACACGTATCGCACGATTCCGTTTTGCATGGCTAGAGACAATGAATACATGTACGCGTGCGTTGTAATCCAAACCTTACCGTATAGTTTCCCCCTCTCTGCGTTTACATAACTGTGTTGGTATACAGCCGCGAGCACGACGAGTAGTAATTGTACGCGCTTTCATCACTAATGCACGCACGTCGCACGCTGCCGGCGACAAAAGCTGCGTCTTTCGAGCGCGCGCAGCGCTGCGTGTTATGGGGGAAAAAAGGCGCGCCCCCTGCTGGTTTCGTTGCGCGGGCGAAGAGGTAATTGGGTTATGCGGAGTTCGCGTTTTACGCCCGGAAACAATATCCCTCGCCCGCAGTGTGTCGTGCCGCGAGCTGGAGGCGAAATACTGAGATTACGTGACTTTGAAAACGCTTCCCTTTCGGCGCCGCGCACATTCACCGTGGGCGCCTTCTGTAGTGATCGTAAAGGGCCGCGGTAGACGAGGTTAGCTCCTGCTAGAACGGCTGTGCAAGGGACGAAAGCGTTCAGAACAGATAAGTGGTTCGAATGCTAATTGTTGGTGGGCCAGAACATGCATTTCTTTTCACTATACACGCAGTGCATTGATACATGCGTTATTTCTGACCGTGGAGATGACTGAAACGAATATTGAGGGCCGTCGTAAAGTAACATTGGTAACACTTTCATATACGTAAACATATTCTGCTGCAAATTCCTTGCGGTTCGTTCGATTTTTTACTCTTTTTTTGTATTCTCGCTTATTTGCACCGAAAACATTGTCTCACTGCGCCGACACTTCGCTATAAGCAATGAAACTCCGGCATTAGCTGCACTGTACAGCTATATATATACAGTCATCGCAACAAGCGAGAGCAGGCTCTCTCGACATATCATTCCCCATCGTGTGAAGCAACATCGTCATGTTTGCTCTCCCCTCTCTGTGTACGTTTAGTCTCCAATGTGACTTTGTGTACACATAACGCGGAAATAAAAGTTATTCTAAATGGAACGTTTTTGAAGTGACGTATAGCGCGTCGAGTGGCAACACCACTTTGTGTCGTCACTGACGCGTCCGCAACAGGAACGTTTAAAACTTGGGCCTTTAATGCACGTATACACTCATCGCGTTTCGCAAGTGAGTTGTAGCATATGATGAGCACACACGTCATGAACACTCGCACACATCCCAACACGTACACACGTTTGTCGCGGCTGCATCACGTTGACCCTCCCCCTCGCGGGGCTAAGAATGTCGTCCGCTGCATCACCAAATAAAGTCTTTTTCACTCACTCACTCACTACACATGATATACGCCTCTTACCTCTCGCAAGGCAAACAAACTTGCTCGTGCGACATCTATGCAAAAAGGGCACTCTTTCATTTCGACTGCCCAGAGAAATAATTTCGTTTTCCAAGTGACGAGGGGGGGGGGGGGGTAACCGAGATGTTGAAGCAAGGACATGTCATGCGCTCAGCGCTGGTGATTCGGCGGCTATATAAGAGCCGAGCAAGAACACAGATACATGCACACAAAGGTATATATGCAAGCGATAGCGATACACGTGTAAGGTTAGAAGTAGGAGGGGTGGCTCCCCAAAGAGTTGGTAGCGCGTCGCTATATACAAGCTACGCCCGCTCCGGTGACCACGTTAACTTTGCTGCGCCGCAGCTTCAACCGCAGCTCCCGCGAGCAGAGGGCAGAGAGGAAGAAGAAATGTACGTGTTGTTTGTGGAATGAAAGCCAACCCCACCGTGCACCCTCCACGAGAGTTTCGTGTGTGCGCACGGTGTGGCGCACATCCGCGCTGCGCAATTATGAAAAAGCGGGGCGGCGACGAGTTTGCGTGGACCCAACACGTAAAACCCCGCGCACGCACTGGAGCTTTCGCGCGTCGCATCGACGAAACCGCTATACAGCGCACCTTCGTGCAAGCGGGGACCGCGTGTTTTCCTCTTTGCACGAGTCGACAAACCGGCGCCGCCTGCACGCGTCGTTTTTCGTGTATAATTTGGCTTGTCGCGGCACCTGCAGGACCCCAGCTCGCTGGCCTGCACAGTTGGCCTGCTTGTTTGTTTGTTTGGTTGCTTGCTTACCCGGCTCGCTGAAACTGGGAGTGCAAGCGCGCGAGATTGCGGTCCCCTTGCACGGTCCGGTCCTGCCGGCGCGCCGCTAAGAGCACTTTCTCCGAGAGTCAGCACTTTTCGGTCAACTTGCTCGTTTGCGTGTTTGCCCGCGTGGCCGTATACGCGACTGTCAAAGTGGCTGGCCTCTCCTGTTTGCCTCCGCCTTCACTGCTGCCCGCGAATCTTGTCCGAAAACTTTGGCTTACTGCTTCGGTAGGCTAAACAGATTAACACGTCTTTGCGAAATTTTCTCTTTGAAAGTTCGCTCGCTGTATAGCACGGGTTTCGTGAGCTGTGTGCCTCGGACAACGATGCATTACGATTACAGACTTTCCGTAGTGTCTCTTTGTTTGGCGCCTAAGCTGGATGCTGGTATTTTTATAGATTGCGCAAATGTAGTCTTCGCTTCGTAAAAAAAAAAAAGAAAACACGCGTATCTCGGGGGAAAATGCGATTTCGCTTGCTTTGTAGCCTGTCGGCAAGCAGTGAAGAAACTCAGTGCTCAGTGCTTAAGGAAGTGATTCTTTCTCGACTCTTCAGATCCAAACAATTGTAGATGCACGTGAAATGGCATGCAGATTGAAAATAATGGCCATGTATGCTGTAGAATTGATTGCTTTAGACCCACTGATGTTGAGGCAGTATTGAACGTGTACGTTTCTTATATGCTCACTTTCATTTTTATACTATTGTCCTCTAAATTCAGTTCCGGTAACAGTTCTCGTCTCAGTGCCTCTCGCTACTTCTATAGGATCTCAAAACATGTAAATTTAATCTTCTCATAGCCCCCTGAGAAATCGGGGCATGCAGATATGCACTGATAATTACTTACAAAGTGAGCATCTGTTCAGTATTGCGGGAACAAGAAAATAATGAAAATAAACAATGCACACGCGCTTAATGTAGAGCAGGGTGCCCCGGCTTACAGTCTGTTCCTGAATAATAAACAAACGAATGCTGGGGCCCCTGAAATATATTGAGTTGAGCGAATCAACGTAAATAAAAAAAAACTGACGCAGACCATACCGATCTATTAACAGGTAGACAACAACAGCGCCCTCATTGTCATCTTCCCGTATGTGCAACTCGATGTGCTGTTTGTTCGGCAGTAGAATGTGTGTATTCATCGCATTCAGTCAGTCACCTCATCGTGCCGTGTATTTTCTCTGCTGGCGCAGGAGCATGTCGTCTAAGCGCAAGAGTCCGCCCACCAAGCTGTCGACGGACGAGCTGCGGAGCGAGGAAGAGCAGGAGGAAGACGGGGCCCTGTGCGAAGGTGCCGACGCTGACGAGGAAGAGGAGGAGGAGGACGAAGAAGAGGACGACGACGAGACAGCCGCCAGCCGGCTCAGGCTGACCGCAGCTTCGTGCAGCGATGGCGAAGCGCTGCTTTCCGGCCGCGCTCTCATGGGAGGACCGCCCGATCAGCTCATGGAAGAGGACGAAGACGAAGACGTGGTCGCAGCGGCGGCCGAGGAAGACGGGGAGTACGACGAGCGCGCCGTCGCCCTCGACGAGTTCGACGAAGACGGCCGCTCTGATAGTCTCGGCTCGGACGCCCTGGCGCACAGCCCAAACGGGTTAGCAGGCTGATTACCTCCTTATAGACGTTTCCTTTCGCGAATCTGAACATCGCAGGGAGGACAAGAACTGCCGCTTCGGTATGGTTTTGGTAGGGATCGGGACAAGTGGTATTGCCAGAATGAAAGCCTTCAAGATGCCTCTTTCACCGTGCCATGGCGTAGGCGCCCTTCACATAGAAGAAAATCTGCGAAATGATGCACCTTATAGTCTCGGAAGCTTTTGTTACCCGCAATACCGTTGCCCCTGTGCCTACCGAAACCCTACCAAAATGAGAGTGAGCAGTGCAGGAAAACGAAAAAAATAAATAAAAACAAGTGGGTTCCCTGAGAACTGTGAACCGCAACGGGGGACCTTCCTGCTTATGCATCTGTATCGATAGATAACGTTTTAATGATTATCCCGGAGATGTTAGCCTTGTTCATTGCCCGGCTTGTTACTCGAGGTGTCGGTTGTTGACCGTTGTGCATATTATGACCTTTACACGCAAATAACACGTTCGATCAAGTACACATGTATTCCCCACAAACGTTATTATAGGCGAGAAAAAAAGCAATGAAAAGAGACCTCGTAAGTTGAATATTCAGTAAAGTGGTCTAACAAAAAAGGCTGCGAATTAATAAGAAAAGTATTAAGGCTGTACGAATTTCCCCCTTCTATTTGTTGTAATAGCAGAGCTGCGTTTAAAACATGAGGCTGCATAAGTAAATCGAGAAATAATAAAATAACCGTTAGTTGTCTTCGTGAGACAACAATAGATCGTCTCTTTATATGTCGTTTGCGTCACCGACGCGCGCAATTAACGCCGTTATTTCTTGTAAAACTCGCTCAAATGCCTTACCTGTGGCCAGCCGCGCTGAAAGGGCTTCGGTGCGTGCAGGAATGCGTCCCACCACGGAAACTACGCGCCGGCGGACAGACTCCTTGGTTCCCGGCACACAGACTCCGAGGACTCGGACGCGTATGGACCGGGTTCGCCGGCCGAGAACCTGACGACGATGGCGTCCATGGTATCGCCGGTGGCGCACCAGCCGCACAGGCGTCGACAACAGCCGCCGCACCAGCACCACGCGCAGCAAAGGACGCCACAGGCGCCGCCACCTCCGCTGCTTCCCTCAACATCCTCCGAGGGCGGAAGACCCAAGAAGTCCATGGACGACGTACTCAAGAGGCTCACTTCCAAAATGCACACCATCGCAACGCTCAATGATGGAGCCTCCTCCAGGGCGCCGGTCGAACACCGGTGAGTTCTGGACTTTTGGTCTTATTGATGCATATTGGCTTAGCTTTAGGAGTTCTTTTACGCGACGTGGTCAAGTTTCGATATGTGTAGTGGCAGGGAACCTAATTAAAACACATACGCCACACAGGTACAATGTGTTTCGCCCGAAAGCATTATTGGACGAACAGCTCAACAGCTTAAGCGCTGGCGCTTTCTGACGCTGTCATTATTTCGACAAACAGCGCCGATGCAGTTACGCGCGTTTCAATATTCTTGTGACTAGGTGTGGTGCCCTGTTCCTTTAAAAAAAGCAAACTGCAGTCAAAAGTCTTGTCAAAGCAGTCAATGATTTCAATGTCTGATCGCCCTGTCGCATCGCATGTAAACGACAAAGATGATCTGTAGTTTTTGTGACAGAATGCTGTAGCCGTTTACGGTAGCATTGATACGTATTTCAATGTGTAGCAACCATTGCAGACGCAGGCAATTTCTACACCGTTTCTTCGTGTTCTTTTTCTAGTCCCTTAACTATCTCTTCTTGTCGCCCGTCTTGGCAAGCTGCTCGGCATGCCAAAAGTTGGGACACCTGGCATAACAGCCATACCGCTAACTTGAACACAGTGTTCTTTTAGAATTCGCGTCGGCCGGTGAGCTAACAAAAGCCCCCAGAACCTCCGCAGGTTGCCTAACGTAGCAACTAAAGATACGTGCGACAGGAACACGTGCCAGACCCACGTAATGGTGCCCGTGCGCCTGCAACCACATCGGTTCGCGCAGAAAGGCTGGCGAGACCGAATAAGGACCGCGTGGCCACCGCCGCGAGAGAAAGAGAAGATCGGTTCCGCGTTGATGGCACAATAGAAAGGAGTAGGACTGTAGCGTGGCGTCCCGTCGTCCTGCGCCAATCTCGAAGGCAGGGCCCTGCAGCGTGGGAGGTGGCGGCGGCGGCAGCGACGCGTACAAGGCGAGAGATAGCGACAGAGGAAGGGAAAACAGGCGAGTGGTGAGAGAGGCTGCGCTGTTGTGGTTGTCCTGCGCAGGGCCCATTGTCTCGTGACCAGATTGGCGCTCGCCGAAAAAGGCCCGGCCTTCCTTCGGCGCACGCGCCGACGCTCGCCGCAGCGCGCGCCGCCGACAATGCCTGCCAGGGCGGTGCTTCCCAACAATGGGCCGGGCCTCCGCGGAGAAGACAGCTTCTCAGGAGGTGGCTCCGCCGACGACGCTTCTCTCCTCTTCCGCGCTGGCTTCTCCTTCGGCCTTCCCTTTGTCTGCGCATTCTCTTTCGCGGTAGGCGGTCTTGGAACAATGGATCCGCGTCGGTGGCGAGCCGATTGTCGCCGGCGGGCCTCGCGTCGTCGTTTCGATTCGTCGCGGCCCGCGGCCACACAATGGGATGGCGGCCCTCTTCTCCATCACTGGCTCCTCCTGCGCTACGCGCTGCACCACACGACTCGCGCCCGTCCTGGCGCGCATTGCGGGTGAGCGCAAAACAGTGTGACTGAAAGCGAGCATGCGAAAGATAGCTGTAGCACTTTGTTGGCTATCGGGTTCAACGGATTAACTGCCGTGTAAGCCACACCGGTGTTTAAATCGTGACCCAAAGCTTTAGTTGCATTTTACTGGAACGTACGGCAGGGCTGCCATCACTGTTGTAAGATTGCTTCCATGAATAGCTAGTCCCTGCTCACTTTCTGCGACGACAATTTAACTATACTATACACTTACGCATACTTTCCATTTGATCTACACGAACGACATAAGGCATAGAAATGTCTTATGTCTTCGTGTAAAAGTATTGTCTTAATTTGCACCACACGTTCAGTTTCTTAAAGATTAACTTCCGTATTTATTGATTGAAGATCAATTAGTCATACTCCGATTCCCTTCTTTCTCTCTTTCAGTTTTTTCATGAATGCTCAAATCGTAGTGGCGATTCTTCGTGTCACACATCATACTTAATTTTTTGCCTTACAGTATTCTTCATTTTGTGGCAAGCCTAATGATAATGAAAAAGCAGCATTGATATCGTCATTCCTGCCTTTTTCCAAGAACGTACGGAGGTATAGTCGCTAATTGCACTTCAAAGCTTCACTTCCTTCCCTTTGCTGTGAGCGAAGTGGCGGTTATTGTCTAAAATTATAGGTCTAGTAAACGCGCGAGAATGTTGTTGCCCACTGCGGCAAGATTTATTGATGTGTGCCGGTTTATTCTTGTTGTAAGGGTTGTATACTCTGTTTCTGCGGCAATCGTTAGAAGACTGGACACAGGTATAAGTTTTATTAGCATTGCCTTGAAATATGAGTGATATAAAGCTCTCTATAATGAGTTATTCAACACTATCATGAGTGATCATGAAATAAGATTTGAACTTGATTGTAAAGTATATTCCGTAATTTAAAAAAAAACCGACCTGTTTATTCCCATTTGCCTTTGAACGTCGATAGAAAAGCCGCTAAATAAATGAGTCGCATAGTGGTCTCTGCACTCCTATAGGAGGATGGCGTTTCTCACATCCTTTATTTCGGGCTTGTTTTTACGTGACGCCATTCATTTATATAAGTGACTATCTGCAAAGTGCATTCTTAATTGCATATAGGAGTGATACGCAATCATCATGCCGTCCTTCTTTTTCCTTACTATTGCCACTCAGGTTCGTTTGGCTCCTGAAACCATCACCCATTGACTATAGGTGCTTAGAACGCGCGGATTACTTGGAAGGTTTCTTGAATGCTTTCCGCTCGTGTCAGTAAATCTGTTTCTGTATTACGCTGGCGCACCATTGATAATGTAGTGATAGTGAACTTATTGGTTCCTGTACTTTGTCGTACTTTTATTTGTGTATTTATTTATTTCTTTATTTATTTGTCTTTCTGTTCGTCTGTGTATATGCGTGTTCGTTGTACAAGATTAGATCATTCTATCCTTCGTGTGCAGTTTCATTTTGCCCCTTATTTCGCCCCGAAAACCCGCCGGCTGTGATGTATTGCTGCAGAGAGCCCAGACGAATGAACAGGTCTTGGCTATATATATAGGCGCGCTTTACGAGCAGATATCAATGCGGACTGCCACGTTCCGTCACACACACACGTAGACAGACAGACAAACGTACGAATGCACTCAGAACGCTCAGGCGTCGCCGTATTCAGTGTGCATGATGCGTGGGTCGTATAATGCCGTTTCTTCCGCAGCACGCGGCTCTTAATTGTCGGTGGCCGGCGAAACGGTCGTATGGCGCGAGTACGGTGTCATGACGAAGAAGAGGAGAAGTCGTTTGCAGGCCACCTGTGTGTGTGCATGCATCGTCTTGTTGATTTCGCGCAGGTCCCGAGGTGGAAGCAGCGGCGCGGACGCCGATCACGGCGGCCGGAGGCGCGTCACGCTGCAGCTGGAAGGGGAGACACTGCGGCTCGCATTGTCCGGCGGCAGCCTGAGGGACAACGAACGCCGGCTCACCGAGATGATCAACCAGCTGCAGCAGCTGCGAGATCAGCTGCTCGTGCAGCAGAGGCTCCAAATGGTCAGTGCACGATAACCAATGAACTTTATACTTATGTAATAATATTTCGGTATACACTGTGGAACATTTTTTCGATGCGTTCCCGTTGCGTAGGATTCACCGATACCAAAGTTCGCGTTATCTTTAGAGGGTTTGGTGCTGTCGACCCGCAGTCTCATGGTCCCCGAACTGTTGCATAAGATCGTGCTTTCCACACTTTCGTCTGTACGCCAGGCGTCTAGAGTATATGAAAGAACGCAAGATCTTGGATACGCGAGCTGCTTTCTTTCCCCGTTACTTTGTCTATAATATATACCCAGATTTATTTATTTAGAAATGTATGAATCAAGGCTGTACTCATACATGTCTACCGTGATCTGACGAGTCGGTGTAGTGCCGGGCCCTGGCGGTCGACAATCCGTGTGCTCGAGGCCTAATTGGCGAGGCGTCGCTAGCTCTTTACCTTCTACCCTGTATCATGAGCATTATGTTGTGGTAGAAAATGTGCAAGTTGTCTTGTTTGGGAGGCATAAAGCATATAATAAATTACAAGCCTATACAGCAAGTGACTATGCTTGAAGCATTAACAACTAAAGAAAAATTCGAAACAGGGCTTGGTGCGCGCGCGTGCGAGGGTACTGCCTTGTTTTATGTAAGCAAGTTCCATGTAAGCAAGTTCCATGTAAGCAAGTTCCATATAAGCAAGAAAACCCACGGCTGCCGAGGGGAGAGCCTTAGATTGCATAAAATATACTGAGGACTGTATGCATAGCATGACACATAAACAAAAAAATGCTAGTTATGTCATTGAGAAATGAGTCGAGCCATTGTACGTGCAAACGGCGTAACGAAGTTGCATCAATCACTTGAGCAGCCGAGATGCATATATACCATAGCTCAGGCAGAAGTTGAATTTGGAGGTTCTGTAATACAACACGTGCGTGTGTTAAAGCGAGGATTCACTGCTAATTGCTGAAATAACACAAAAATATGTAACTACGAGAAAACAAGCGGCAGCGTACTGCGATTGCATAACATTGTCATGTGCAAGTTATCTTCCCGATGCGAAACGAGAACATCAAAGTGATTTTTCTGCGTACAAAGCACAGGTAAGAGACATCAATTCAACATTATTCGTACATATATAGATGAAATTTAGAACGCGTGCTGGAAACGCTTCTTGAACATATGTATTTTACACATATGCACTTACTGTGCCGGATCTGGCGCATCTCTCGTTTTATTTTTCATTCAACCCCCCATATTTGGGCCCTTCTTAACGAAGCAGTTCGCATCTTTTATTAATTCATCCAATTTTGCTTTTAAAATCGCGAGATATGTCCACAAACTACCTTGACCGATAGCCTACGTTGGCTAGTGGTAGGTTCATTGAAGAATACGTCAAGCTGGTTAACAGACCAAACGCATGTTAGTAACAAAACTTTAAACAGATAAAAAATAAAGGCATCTAACAGGGCACGTTCATAATCACATCACCACACCATTTTGAAGGTAAATAAGCAGAATACACTGACGACAGAAGATAACAGGACTATTTGCAAGTGAAAGGAACTATTTAGAAACCATTTACACTTTCCAAATATAGGTTCTCGCGAGTTTCAGGAATGTCCTATATGCTATAAGCGTGAAGGTGGCTTGACCAATGACTCTGACGAAGTAAAAAAGGTATCGGGTCACTGCGTTACAGAGGCCGAACGTCGTAAGCCGTTGGCGTGTAAGCGCCATGCCGATTCCTGAGCACGCCGACCGAGAAGTCCCAGCCCCCTTTTTGCGTTTCGCTGCTTGAGACGGAAGTGCGGCAAAACGGCCGCGCGCGTAACCATCTCCGCGGTTTATTTGCCTTGGCGACGGCCCGGGACGTGCGGCTGTCTCGAAGGCGCGCATCGCGGCGAATGTCACTTCGGCGAGCATCGGTGGGCGCTGCTGCGCTGTGTTGCTGTGCTCTCCCGCGGCCGGGCGCTCATGGTCTCACTCCGGTAGGACAGTTTCCCGAAATAGCCCGTCGCGGCGCCGCGCTCGCTTTGCGAGCGCCCGTGGCCAAACCTCCCTCCGCGCAGGCGAACCCTTCTTCTCGATGCCGGTGTTGTGTGTTGCTTGCATGTGTGCGTATGTGTATGTGCCTTCGACCAGCGGGTGACAGTGACTGGCGCACCGCCGCAGCCTCCTCGTCCTGCACTGAGGTAAAAAAAACCTGCGAATGGACGCCCCTTTTGTGGGCCTCCTAAGGACTCATTTGCCTCTTGCCGGCTTTTATTCTCTCGCTTCGCGCCTGCGTTTTCTTTTTTTTCTGGCACTGGCATTAGCGGCTCGTCTTCCATAAGGATAGCGAGTCGGAGAGCCTGTCAGGTTTTCTTTGCGCGCGCTGTTCAGTGGAAACAGTGCTTGTGTGGGAGGTTAGCTTTTAGACCAGTGTGACGTTGAACTGTTGAGAACGCACTGACGGACCAACTTCCGCGAGAGTATTGGAATGTCGCCTGCATTGATATGCGTGCTTGTGACCCTGTCCATGTTGACGTTTTGTACTCGTGAAAGGCTGGTTATTAAGGGACATTGCATAGTGTGTTAAGTTTACTGATTCCGAGTGTCACTACAATTCTTATTCATAACAGAATACTCGCGTGGTATGATGTGGGCAGGCATGAAGGTCTGGTCCTTTGCTGCTTTGTTTCCACTGGGCCAAAGAAAAGCGGTAGTGCGAGGGAGGTGGAAATAAACAGCGATTGAGTGTTTTGTACGTGATACAGTCACTGCGTTTAGCTGCTGCAATCATTGACGGGTAAAAGCGGAAATTTCTAAATGCGCGGATTTGGCGAAGCCGGCAGATCTTACGCCTAGGTTTCAAGCTGCAAAGCTGGCGCGTGATCCTCTTCTTGTTACGCTAGATTGAACAAAAGAAATTTGAATCGGTACCTTCAGCTGCGACGGTTCTCAACGAATTCAATACACCAAAAAAATTAGTTAGGGTTTTGCGGGGCAAAACCATGATGTCATTACGAGGCACGGTGTAGCAGAGAAAATTTGGGCCATCTAGTGTTCTTTAACACGCATAAATATCGCGCAGCATACACACGCCTCCCGCGTTTTACCTCCATAAAAAAGCGACCGCCGTGGACGGGAATGCGGCCAGACATGCGTGCAAATCATACATTTGCTACCTGCGTAGTAGAAGTTCATCACCAGAATTCGTTCACGCTCACAGAACACTCCACGACAGGGCTCCCAACTCATCCGCAACGTGTGCGAGCCCTCGCCATCCAGAGTCGCTCTCCGCTGGCAGGTTCCTGCCACGGTGGGCTAAGTGACAACTTTATCACGACGGGGGGATCTGTATGTGTGCCGCGATGAAGTTCAAGGTACAACAGAGAGCGAGGAAGACCTGGGAACCTGCGGCCGGCCCTCCTTCAACGGCGTATAACATTCGCTCTGGATTCTGTCTTAAGCCTCCTTTTTCTCTTGACTTCCTTCACGCGCGTCAAGAACAGCGGCGCCGCGACGGCGTTGGGGGGACTTTGAGAACTTAGCTGCGCACGCGGGCTCGAAAAAACGGCGGCATATACGTCATTGTCACGGGTGCCGCGCGTCTCCTGTACGCACGGACGTACACGCAACGTGCACTAGCGTCACCCTTACCGCACAGAGGAGACACGTGATACAAGCGCGAGTTATTCGCCTAGGTCAGCGACCTGGATGCCTCGTCGCGCACGGCTACGTGAAAAGAAAAGGAACCTACCGCCGTTGCCTTCTTTTTCCCGCCGGTGCTGCTACCGCCGCGCGCTCGAGTTGTGCTTCCGGTCGCCTTGGCGGGAAAGGATGATGAGTACGCTCCGCAACTTCCGGTCTCTGCCGACGCGACGCACCGCGAGCGCGGACCTGCCCTTGCGTAGTGCCTTGCTAGCTGTGGAAAGGGCTGGGCGAGGGCAACACAAGGGTTGAAGCGCCAGCATCGCCTCCTCCGCGAGCGAACCTGCGTGCCACGCGGGAAAGCGAACACCCCTGAGAACACATTTCTTCCGCGCACCGGTGTTATGCGCTTCTCTCTCCGTCTCCTCCTCTTGGCAGACATAGCTTCGGAACCCGGGTTCTTTCTATTTTTTTTTTCTCTTTGCCTCGCTGCCTTCGGCTTCCTGTTCTCCTTTAAAATTTTTCTTTCGCGGTGGAAGTATGTACCACAACACGCGCGACCGCTTGCATAAAAGAAAAAAAGAAGTCCCCGGTCGCGCTTTTAATACGCGCCGCCGCAGATAGGGCCCACGCAAGCAAGCAAAGAAGCCCCGGGTTCTGGTTGCCCCTTTCTCCATATTTTAAATCTAGCCGCGCCCGGGCTCCCATGCAGCTCTGCATTCAGCTTCGCTGCAACTCTTCCTATTTCCATCGTGCAGGCGAGCTTCGAGTGCCACTTTTTTGAATTTTTTTTTTCCTAGTCCCTCCGTTTCCCTCTTTCACTCCCTCCCCAGCGTGCCTACTAGATGCCTCGACCTGGCCTCACTTTATTACCGTTGCCTTGCCCCTCCGTTCGTACGTCATAGCTTTCTTTTTTTTCCCTCTTTTTTGTTTCTTTCTTTCTCGCGGTGCGCCTATTTTTTGGCAATGATTGACGCGCGCGCTTTCACTGTCTAGCTGTTCACGTTCCGGCTTGTTTGTGGCTTCTTACGCGTTGATACATCTTTTAAACCTCTCGTCTCCAGCCTGAGCGCCGGCATCCGTTGCTGCTTGTATTTACTTATTCATGTTTTCTTTTTTGAAGATCGCAATCATTCTGGCACCATAAGGACCGGCTGGAAATGGTAGAAGGATGCGGACGCTCATATTTAAAGCGTGTGCGTGGTAATTCATAGACTGCCTTTTTATTTTCTTTGTCTGACAACTGTTTTATTTTTCTCTCGTTTTCTCCCCTCTCCGTCTCTCACATACATACATACATACATACATACATACATACATACATACATACATACATACATACATACATACATACATACATACATAAAGTCGCATGCATA